GTCTCCCCCCCCCCCCCCGTTTGAATTAAAAAAAATAATAATAAATAGAATCCAATAAATAAATAATTATTTTTTAAAAAGTTACTTAAAAAATGAATGATTTTCTCTTTTTTTTTACATTTTTCTTATTTTGCTTTAACTTTTCAGATTTACTCTAGAAATTTTTAATTTATTAAAAACTTTTTTTGTTGTTGATAAATTGTATGCTCAAGATCGTGATACGAAACCCTCTCTGTGAAGACAACATAGTCCCGTATTCTCAAGATACTTAAAATCTGATAGGAGAAAAAAAGAGTAGTTCAAACACTGTGAGAATTCAACTCTGTAAGAATCAGAGTGAAGCAAAGAGCAATCTGGCCTCGAGGTAGCTCCGCTCAGCGGCACCGTAGAACAGGTCGAATGTTACGTCACAGACTCACTTGGCAATCACTCCCTCCTAGCCCCCACATTTCCTATTACTCTAAATTCAGGATCTGGCCGGTGTTGATTTTTGTTTAGCCAGCTTGCTGTTTTGCCATTGATACTTTGAGAATATACAGACAAGGATATGAATGTAGAAGTAGAATCCACTCTGCACTAGATTTCTTAAAACTCGTTTGAAATGCTAGTAATTTCTAAAATTCGGAATGAGAGGGGAGCTGAGGCATGAGGTTGAAAGTGGGGAGAAGGTGCAATAGAGCAATTTCTTCTCTGAACTTTTTATTCTCGTAACAACACAGGAACACAGGGGTGCAGGGTGATGGGGCACAGGACATGGGTTTTTGTCTCATACTCATACAAAATTAGAGATGTGGACATACAGAGAGGACATAGTAGGGTGCGGAGTTCATTGAAGGAGAGTGAGGGAAAAACAGAGCTCCCAAGAAGACAGAAGGGCATCCCAGAAAATGGATTCCCAACAAGGAAGTGGGGCAAGGGTGTTTTTTTTTTTTTTGGAGAGGTGGTTTTTGTTTTGTTTTGTTTTGTTTTGCTGTAGGGCGCGTGTGCTCGCCAGACAGAGAGAGACAGAGAGATAGAAAGTAAGAAATCACCCTTCCATGGGGGATGGCCATGCCATAATCCTTTTTCCTCCATTCTCCTCTTGAGATCTTGGGCACACATGCACACACGCCCGGCGTGAGTTTTAAGCCACCAGGTCCAGGACATGAACTGCGGTCAACTACCTGGAAGTCCAGCGACATAGCCATTATACTAACTGCTGGTCCCGGGGCAAGGGTTTTTATCTGGGCCAGAGGGGCCTTATTCAGGCTTGTTTTTAGGTGGGGGTCGTGCTTGTATTCCCTTTATGATAGGAAGGGGCACATGTTGGATGGTCCAGGTCTTCTTTTCTTAATTTTGGAGTGGGTATGAAGGTCAGGAGATTTTTTCGTCTAGAGGCTTTGGGCTGTAAAAACCTTTATCTTACCCTCTTTCTGGAATGTGGTAGGGCCTGGGAAAAAGCTTTTGCTTTAGGTCTAGGTCGTGCTGCCCAGGCCAGTCGCTGAGCCACCGCTGCAAGAGGTCTCTCCTGAGCAAGCAGCAGAGCTGCTTTGTCTCCTTAAAACTTGGCCATTTTGTGATTCCATTTTGGGCCCATACTGTAACTATGTGTTTAGGATCCCTGTACCACCTGATGTAACTAAAGGGTTGGAAAAGGCTCAGCATCTCCTTATTTCTTACTCCCTGTCCCCACACCTGGGACACACAGTGCTTCCAACTGTTGAACATACAAATGGAAACTCTTTCTCTCTTTTCAGGTGAAACCAGTGGGAACGAAAGTGATGCTGAGTATCTGCCAAAGAGTGAGTGAGTCAATGGGGCTGCTCCCTTTCTCGTGATGAGCACGGTTATAGGTGGAGTGGCACCTACCTTCATGATTAAGTG